ATTTCTATTAAGAACTAATATTATCTTCAAAAATAAATATATATTTTAGAAGACTTCATTTGAAGAGAAGAAAAGTAGTTGATACTTTTATGTTACATGCAATTTGGTCATTTTCCAAATGTACTTCTGTCTCACATATAGATAATTAAATTCTGGGAATACTGAAAATGATTTGGATTTACATCTGCCAGAGCTAGTTCTTGGGACTGGATGTGACAAGTTTGAGTTTCACATGCTTGGACCACTGTATGAGAAGGGTTGGGGGAAAGAGCTCCATGATTAATCACCCGTGTCTTCCTCCGGACAGCGAGGAGAGAGTATGGTACACGAGCCCTGTGCTCACTAGTGTCTGAGAACCTCTGAGGCCGAATCCAGTAGGCAAGTCCTGAATGGATTCATGTCAGCAGCAGCAGTGTAACTGCTGCTGGGGTCCTGGTTCCAAGAGCCAGGTGCAGGTGACCTTCTAGGTGAGGTGAGTCTGATGTCAGCAAGTGTTTGTCAGCTAGAAGCATCACCTGTTGAGGGAGCTAGATGAGACGCAAAAGACTTCTCAGCCCTCAAACTGGGCATGGTGATGCATGCCAGTAGTTTCAATATTGACTTGGCTTCAGAGGTGTCGTGGGTCTATTGGCTATGGATGTACATGTAGTGCTAAAACTCGGCGCTGCTGCTTTCTGTGCAGCTGAACACACGATTACTATATTTAGATACTTTCATAATTCTGGGTTCTGTACCTCAAGGGGTGGAATGTTTGTTTCACGTTTTGGGGTGGGGAGCTTGTTCCTAAGTATAAATTTGCCCAGCATTAGTTTCACTTAAGAGAGAACAAGTAGAATTGTCTCCAGCTCTTTCTTTTTTTTTTTGGTACCAGGGATGGAACTCAGGTCCTAGTGCTTGTGCAACAGGCGGCGAATCCACCTCTTTCTAAGGGGGCATTTGGAGAGGAAAGGTGAATGGTCTTGCCTTCATAACTTGGCTGACCTTTTTTTTCCTAGTGGTGTCTTTGATAAAGGTGTTTAAAAAGTTTTGTTTGTTTTTTGAGACAAGGTCTCACTATGCAGCTCAGGCTGGCCTTCAACTCACTGTGTAGCTTTAGCTGGCCTTGAACTCACAGTGATCCTCCTGCCTTAGCCTCCAGAAGGCTGGCATTACCGGAGTGGGCCTCCATGCCTAGCTCTTTTGATAAATCTAGAACCTTTTTTTTTTTTGGTGATACTGGGAATTGAACTAAAGGCCTTTTCACTGAGCTACATCCCCAGTACTTTTTCTTTCTTTTTTTAAAAAAAATTAAAACATTTTTGACACAAGGTCTCTCTAAGTCACCAAGTTGTCCAGTCTGGGGACTCAAACTTGCAATTGTCCCGCCTCAGCCTCCAGAAATCTGGATTTACTTTTAAGACATTCCATTTGAAAGGTTTTGTGGTCTCCTTTTGTTCTCTGCTGATGACTCAGAGTCATGCAGTTTTCCTAAATGGATTTTATTTCTGTAGCAAAACATTTGCCTTCCTAGGATGGCCTTATTTACTAGGTGTCTGTTGTGCAAACCTCCAGGGAATGGCTGTCATGCCGTGTTGCCCTCCAGTATGTAAACCATGGAAACAGCACCACACTCTGTCTGCGCACCAGAGTCTGAGCGTGCTGTCTTCACACTCTCAAGAAGCATCGGGAGATTGTAGAGCATTTAAAAAGTAGCAGGGTTAACAACTGGCCTAACGTATTATGCCCCATAGCCTCCTCTGCTCAGGTTGTCTATTATGGCTGTCATCTTACATGGTTTGGCTGTATTTATGTAGTGCTCCCTCCTCCCTTGTAAACTGCTTCTAATGTCTTAAGATATGAATTCCATGTAGTGACCTTGTGAGGAAGGCCAGCATTTTTCTGTTTAAAGGTGAAAAGTGATGGCAAAATGGAACTTGAGCGTGTACGCACAAAGCTCAAGTTTGTCTTCACCTGCAGGTAGAAGCAGACCCTCGGTTCTTTTTTGTTGTTGTTGTTGTTACATTCTTTTATTGGTACATTGTAGGTATAGAACACAATTATACTTCTCATTGGGAATTGTACCTTTACATAATGCATCTTGGTTCTTATTTTTTCCCCATTCCTAGCCCT